AAAATTTAATGTAAATTACTCACTATAAAATCATCATTGCTCAGACAAACCACAATTTTCATAACCTTAAATTTTGTTTGGTTACAGAGCCATCGAATAGAAAATCATACCCCTTTTGCCCCACCCACCTGTCACATCCTCTTTTTTCAGAATTTGTTTATAGTTCTCTCTTACGTTTAATTCTATATTATGTTTGTTCTTTATTTATTATTATAAAAGTAGTTAAAATTTAAAATTAAGCTACTTAGGATAAATGAATATAGTTTCATGTTAGTTTCAGTCATTCTAGAAAGAAAAAAACATGGTAATTTAGATTTATTTTGATTTTTTGTTTGGTGGCTACAAGTTAGGGTATAGATAGTTAGGGTAGATAAAATATAAACCTTTACTGAAAACAAATGTTTGAAATGTATCTAGGAGGTTTGATAGATTATGCAAATGATACTAGAGATTTTGGGGACAAAGAATCATTTTTCTAATCATAACATGAAAATTACTTTGCACTTGGACTACTATTATTGGTAGTAACGAAACAGATTTACTATATTCACAAACAAATCTTTAATAAAAATACTTCAGTAAAAAATCAGATTTTTTGTGTACAAAAGACTTGCAATGTTTACTAAAAGTCTACCAAATTTTGTGAAGATACACATACTACATTAAAGTGTGCAAATTTGTATACGAAGTCGTGTATTTTATACTGAACCCATCGCTAAAGGGTTAATGTAGTAAATTGTATTGATTCCTACATTTATATGGATAATTCTTAAAACACATAAATTAAGATGCACCAGCTAAAAACTTTTCTAAACCCCCCTATTTCAGCAAACACCAGTCTTCTTTCTCAAGGATCTTCTGTCATAATACATCAAGTACACCTTGTTGGATATAGAAGACTGTTTAGTTTAATTATTTAGTGATTTAATCATTATTTAGTTTTCATAACAAGTGTGTTAAAAGATAATTACTTTAAAAGTGATAGTTGTGAAAAGTTTTGTTACGTAACTCGGTACGAGTCATAACTTGTGTATGCAGTTTAATTGTTGTGCTAGGCTTTAGTAATATTGTTAACCTCATCTTACTTGAAGCTTCCAAGTTTTTCTCAGTATGTATAATATTGTTGCTACTAGAGGGCTAGATAGTTCCAGATTTTTCTTTCATGTGTTATAAATATGAGCGGATACAGCAAGTTAAAGGAAGTTAGAGAAATTAAAGTTATTGTTACTTTAGACATAATGGACAATATCCAAAGTGAGTTTCACAGTGGTATTGTAACAACAGAGATAAAGAATAATAATTTGTCTTGTCAAAGAGTGTTCTAAAGTAATTGAACCTGCTTGTGTGGAATTTGATGAAAAAGAGACAATCATTTAAAGTTCTGGATACAGCTGTGGTAACCAACAGGGTAACGTAAGTGAATTATTCACAGATTCTATTGTGATAAAAGAGTAGAAAAGAATAATTTGTCTTGTCAATTGGGTTTGAAGTTACTGAACCAGCCTGTGTGGACTTTTGATGAAAAAGAGAATTATTTAGTTTTAGATACAACTGTGATATCCTATAGTGTAAAGAATTTTTGTATATACAATTGACTTGTTTTAAGTATATTATTTTAAAACAAGTGGACTGTGTGCTGTCTATTTATTGTTGAAATTTATCACAGACACCTACTGTAAAGAATTAAGCCATATAAAAGCTTGACACACCTAAACAATGTACATGTGGATAATAGCAAAGAATCTTCTGTCATAATACATGAAGTACTCTCAACAATATACAGTCCTGTGCAAAAGTGCTAGGGCAAAGCCAAAAACTAAATTTCAGGCTATTTTCAAAGAACAATGGAAGGTAAGTCACAGGTGAAACATCAAAATTTTATTAATCTTCATATTCAGTACAACAGAAACTCAATGGAAGTGTTTGAGTTCAGCAATCAGTTAATATTTTGTGTGTCCTCCTTTTGCTTTATTAACTGCAGACAGTCTTTCAGGCATTGTTACAACATATTTAATCAAAGTTTCCTTTGGGACTTTACTCCAAATGTCTCTAATACAGTCCCATAAATTTCTTTGGAATTAACTTTTGATTTGTCAAGTTTTTGATCTATGAAATCCCAGATCTGCTCAATTGGGTTGAGATCGGAACTCTGTGGGGGCCATTGCACCATTTGAATGACTCCAGCTGCTTCTTTCTTAGCTAAGTAATTTCTGCATAGGTTGGATGAGTGTTTGGGGTCATTATCTTCCTGGTAGTAGAATCCTTTATCAATAATACACAAACCACTCAGTATATCATGATGGTACTTGCGCTGGTCCATTATTCCATCTATTTTGCAAATATCTCCTGTCACCTGAGTAGAAAAACACCCCCAAACCATC